GCTGCATGGAACTCCATAGGAGAAGCATCCTCATGGTGCACTTTTCTCCACAATGCAAGAAAATCCAGCAGAACTCTCCAACCATTGGGCGCTAGTCGCCCCGGAGTCAAGGAAAAGTAGTGTAAAACGCGACAGATGGGAGAGGACATGAGAAATCTTAACCCAGCCTCAAGCATCTCCTCGTAAACAACAATATCACCAAAAGAGTCATCTCAAGCAAGCTCGCCCAACTCAGCCCAACGGCACACACGATTGGAGAAATGCGATAAGTAAAAACAAGCCTCGAGATATCTTCATCTAAATAGAACAGACTAGAAAGGGTACTCACCTTCGACCCGTCATCATCGAGTCTCACTTTGCCTTTAAGTTTCTTCTTCCAGGGCCGTAAGGAGTAGTTTAAATCACCCTTCTGGAAGTCTTGAGGAACTTGAATCGGATGAGTCACAGTAGGGTCTTGATCATCAAAAGCAGCACCCAAAGCTTCCTTACCACTTGCAATGTCTAGCCCAACACTTAGAAGGGTGTCTGACTGCCTTTGCTCACCAAAACGGAGTTGCCCAATAGCTGGAAGGGTGCCTGACCCTTCAAAATTGCACAAAATAGAATTTTCGGCACCAAAATCAACGTCTGGAGTGGCGCTCAGATCTGTCCGTGCTCCTATGCCGCTGCCCAGCTCTCCCTGCTGTACCTTGGACTGATTTCTAGCACTTTTTGCTGAAGAAATGTTGCTGCCCAGCACTCGAACGCTGCCCAGAACAGCAGAATTTGTGCTGCCCAACGTAGTTGAGCTGTCCAAGACGGCAGAAACAGCAGAATTTGCGCTGCCCAGATCACCTGGGCTGTCCAGAACAGCAAAACCAGCACCCAGGTAGTTGCCTAGCGCGCCTGGGTTGTCCAGGATAGAAAAATCAGCGCTTAGGCAGCTGCCCAGCGCGCCAGAACTGCCCAGTCCGCCAGACTGCACGTGCGCGCTGCCCAGTCGCGGGTTTGCGTTGTCCAGACCTCCTTGCGCGCTGCCCAGACTTCCTATACTGCCCAGACCACCTCCCTGCGCGCTGATTCATGCGAAAGTGCTACCCAGCTTGCCTATTTGCACGCCCAAGTTGTCCGGGACAACATTTTCGGTACCACAGCTGTCCAGGACAACAACTCCAGCAACACCGGGGCCCAAAGGCGGAAGCTCCGTTGCCCGAGGCCTTGAATCACCAATAGGAACCATGGGCTCCCCTATTTTCGGCATCCCAAGCTCGGACAACCCATTGGGTGCATGAATAACGGTGGCAATGGATGCCTGAGACACCTCCATGTCGCTACTTACATCCTCTTCAATAGCAATATTGGTTTTTCTCTTCATTGATGCTCCAACTCAAGAGTCTCAAGCTTTGGGCCTCCAAGGATTTCAAAAAAAAAAAAGGCAAGTTGGAAGGAGTGGGTAGAATGAAGAAGAAGGTTATATTTATAGCCTAGGGTTTTTAAAGAGAGAAAAAACCCAAATTAAAAATTATGGGCTCTCTTAAAAATCCTAGCAAAAGTGGAAAAAATTTGAGATGTGTACCAAAGCGAAAATACATCATGTAGAGAAAGAGTCATCTAGGAGAAGAAGTTTCCACCACATGAAACTCAAGATGTAAGTTAATGTACCCTTCTCCAAGTCTCCTTGGACACGGGGCATTGGGGGGCAAATGATGGGTCAAGCCCAAATAGCCCAATTTATGTGAGAAGTCCAACTCCAATTGAGGAGCGCAACCTCATAAAAAATCCACCAAGCCCAAAATAGTTCAAGACCAGTTAGACTATTTGCTTAGCCACGTCATCAAGGGGAGAGTATGGGAAGCTTTATCTGCACCATCGAAGGAAACGGTCCATCTTTGACCGTATCTCATGGAGAGCTCCTCAACCACCTCGCTCGTTGAGAAGAGATCGGGAGCCCCACCGAAATAGTTGCTTAGTCACTGGAAAGTAGCCCCAACCTATTAGGGGGCCACTATAAATTGCACGCTCCATCAACCCTTGGAAGGACACTGATTGTCTGGCACCACACCTTCCTCGATTCTCTATTCTCCCTCGAAGCTTATATTCTCTATCTCCATACCCTTAAATTAATAAAGTACTCGACAACGAAAGTCATTCAAGAGTGGACGTAGGTCGAGTTGACCGAACCACTATAAATCTTGTCTCCTCCAATTCTCTCTTTACTTTTACTGCATTTATTATTTACACTTGACAGGTAGTGTTCAAAACCATTTTTATGCATCATCACTTTCAAATTAAGGTTAGCAAGAATGGGAAGTGAATCCGGATACTATATATGAGTAATTTTAATTGTATGATTATATTTTTCCACTCATTCTTTGTTCCTTTCCGTTGTGTATTTATTTTATGTTTCTTCTGCTTAGGTATTCGCTTTGTCATACTTTTCATTGGGTGTTTATTTTTTTGCCTACAGCAACATGAGTGAAGATGGAAATGGTCCTACCACTAGACATATCTTAGAGAGATGTTAATTTGTCGTCATAAGTGTTACGCTTTTTTTTTTTTTTTGCATCAAATATGTACTCAAAATTATTTCTATATTATTTGAATATATGTGGATATAAGCATGATATTGTTGGTCGCATATTTTTTTTACTTTCACAAAATATGCAAGTAAATTAACCTCCTTGTTGTATTTTATGTACTACAAAAATTTAAGGGCGAAAGTGGACGAGTGTAAAATTAGATAATAGCATGGTTTTTAGGATGAATATTTATTACATCTCTCAAGCAAAATGGTGAGGTTTGAGATGTACCATTAATAAGATGATAAATCAAGTTGCAACTTTATTGTGCAATTATCTATTTTCAAAGTTGTTCACGTGCAACGCACATGTGCAAACACTAGGAATAGAATATGAGTAATAAAAAATTAAGTTTCCTAAATTTGAGATGATATGTAATTCATATACATATATATCTAATACGTTTTATTAATTTTTGTGTATAAAAAAATTATTCACGTGCAACACACGTGATATATTGCTAGTTCCTATGAAATGCTCTATTATTGGTTAAAATGACACTGCAAGTCAACGACAACTTAATATCAGTATAATATTACTCACTAATATGGTCAGTTCAACTAATATGAGGGGTAGAACCATGCTTGGTAAAATATGGTGCTGCTGAGTAAAATAAATTGAGCAAAATTAAATGAAAATGTATTGGATATGATCAAGGGTGGAACAATAAGTTTTTCACTGGAGGCAAGGGAACGGTTGGACGGCCATCTACTTGCTGCGTCTCACAAATAAATACTTAGAAGACTTGTCAACAATTGATCTGAATTCGATTTAAAAACTAGATTTAAATTGAACCTAATTATCCAATGAACTCATTTTTTACGGTTCATATTCGAATATTCTAAAAATATAAAAGTCAATTTGATCCAAATAATTAAAAAAAAAAAAGAGAAGCTAAATTTCACAAATTACATTTTAATTTCAATACAGTATCATTAAACAATCACTTAATTTTTATTAGCATTTTTGTATATATGTGTGTACACATGTATATACAAACGATATTAAATCATGGTTAAGTCCAATTTTAGTATACCTAAATATATATAAATCTACCTCTCTTTTTTTTGGCTAAAAATGAGGGCAAATTCTAAATAATTTTGAAATTTTTAAAATTTTACATAAAACCTACAAGTTTTCAAAATTAGAGTTAGAGTTGTTGCCCCTACTCTAAATCCGCCAGCGGAAGTGATCAACATGTGGAGTAAGATTCTTTTTTGATACATTTTTCTTTTAATTTTTTTTTAAGTATGATTCATTTACTCATTAATATATGGTGGATGATCCACTGATAAAAGAATTTGAAAAAAAAGTAATGAGTTAAAAAAAATGTAGGATTAATTATACTGGAGATCCCAACGTATAAAATTTGTCTTATTTTGGTATTTAATATTTCAATTGCATTATTTTAATCTTTTGTGATCCCTCAAACAGACAACATTAAGTTGCTAACGATTTTTTATCATAAACTTGTCACGTAATATCTAAATATGAGCAAAATTTAATTTGAGTAACTTTTAACAAAAAATGTGTAATATGAGTTTCTCTTAACCAAAAATTGGATAACACATGATCAAAACCATGTAATTTAAATAATTCTTCGAAAAAAAATTCATCAAAAATTATCTAAATTATTTTTTTAGTCATATTTAGGTATTACGTGATAAATTTATAATAAAAAATTATTAGCAATATGAACGTTATTTACATAAAAACATATTTAATGCTTCAAAGACCAAAAAAATATAATTAAAATATTAAAAACTAAAATAAAATAAACTCTATAATTTAGAACATCGCAATTAACCCAAAAATATGTTAGAGGGCTACCTACACTCTAATGTAAAGCTGCACCATAAATGCAATTATTTGATTGGCGGAGTAAAGCAAATGAACTTTCTTTCCACTTAGAGCAACTCCGAGACCTTCGTTACTATTATAGATAGTATTTTCCTAAAATTTGTCTGCAATAGGCTATTTATTTATAACGAGAGATAGAGCGAGCTAGACTCTCACCACTTCCACAACTAAACAAATAAGCAATCCCCAAAATGATGATAATTTAGAGGCCAAAAGATGAACGATATGCATGCGAGTTGGAGTCTTGATTAAAAATAGCCTTTCAAAGACTATTAATCATCCATCTTCTCTAGAATCACTATAGGCAGAAGGCAATTCCAACAACAGAGATATGTTCCCTTTTTTTTCCCCTACCCAATAACAAAGTATATATAAGTAAACAAGGACTAACAACGACTTGGGTTTTGCAGTTTTTTTTTTTCTCCTGTGTATCTCAACGTGAGGTGCACATGAAATGAATTTAAGAATCAATTTTCTTTTTATAAGGATTGAAATTAGCATCACTTAAATTTTCCAGAGTAGGTTCGTTGCATAATATATATTATTTTCCAAAAGGGAACCAAAAGAAAAGGGAGATGAAATAACTTCACAGAACAGACAACTATATCAAGCAGGACCATCAACTCTGTCAAATAAACGCCTACTTCCGGGGGCGGGTATCCTCCGGCGTTGCAACACCGGTGGTCACTTTGGCGACTTCTCGAGCACTGGCTTCAGGCTTTTTCTTGATGTATAAGGTGAAATATCCGATTGTGGCGACGACGAGGAAACCACCAACAGCCATGGCAAAAGGGCTGTATGGTAATTTCCTTCTCTGGTGCAGCACACCTCCTGGGTCGTGCCCTGGTGGCCTCTTGGATGCCTCCACACCTGCTTTCTTCACTTCCTCTGGACTCATCTTGTGGGTGTCTGCATTCTTCCTCCACTCCTCTTCTTTTCCTTCCATCTCTCTCTCTCTCTCTCTCTCTCTCTCTCTAACTCCTGCGTGTGTGTGAAACTTCTTTGAGGTTTGGACAGGTGGTGGGCTGACACATTTTAATGCAACTAGGTGAAGTTGCATGGGCTCAACAAGTGGCAGATGCTTGTTTTACTTTGGACAAGTGTGTTTTTTTTAGCAGATAGTTTAAACATGACGCAAGTTGCATGCAGGGCCGGCTCCAGCGAAGGTCTAACACAGAAACATTTAAATGAAAATCTTTTTTATTTTTAGTATTTTTTTAAAAAAATTAATTTATTTTTAATTTTTTACGTGAAAAAGAGATAAAAAATGATGTGTTAATATTATCGAGAAAGATATTTTAATTTTTGCTTTTGTTTTTAATTTTTATCACAAAAAGAGAGTTTAATTTTAACTTTTATTTTTACTTTTTATTTTTTTACCACCGAGAGAGAGAAAGTAGGTGAGATTAAATATGAGTTGAATTTTGAGTATTTTTAAAAAATTTTAAGGTTTTAATGTTATGGATTGAATTATAGGCCTAAATTATTGCAATAAAAATTTTCATTAGATTTAATTTTTTTGTGCTTTTTTATAGGACTTAAAATTTAATGAATTTAATTTTTTTTGTGGACTCTAAAATTATGAAGTCTTTTAAAAATTTGAGGCCTAAAACCCATGTTTTTTTTTATACTGTTGGACCGACCCTTATTGCGGCACTTAATTTAAATGGAGCACGTTGAAGGTTCGATTCTCCTCCCGGCTCTCCTCTCTCTTCTAATGTAAAAAATTGTTGCCTATCTAAAATAAAAACACATGCACAACCAGCAAACAGTCTTTCTATTTGCTGATCTATTTTATTGGGCTGGCTTTCTCTCAGCTTCCTTTCACTTGTCCCAAATCCTTATAGCAAGAGAAAATGGATTCGGGTGAGGGTGAGCAATGAATCCACTCGCCCTTGCTTACTTTAAAGGTGGTTTGAACTCGTTACCAGTATTTTATTATTGGATGTGGTAGTTATTAGAAGTTATTAAAATAATATGATTCACTAAGTTAACATAATATTTTTATATTAATTAATGATACTTTGTGATAACAATAACAATGACGTGACGTCATTAAATTAAATATTTTCTCCTATTTGTAACGGACTTTACAATTATGTTCCTTGCATCTTTTATGGTCGGAATAAAAGGGGGTGCAAATTTTATTCATCGTACGTGACTATTGGTGATGATTGTAATATGACCCATGGGAAGGTATGGGTGGATTAGAAATTGTGTATCTTATGTCTGTTAACATATAAGATTTTTAATTGAATTTCATCCGTTCTAACTTGGATTAAAAATTTTGATCCAAATATTATTTGATTATTTTAAAGATTTTTTTGTTTACAATTTATGTCAAAATCCAGAAAAAAAAATTAATAATTGATCCAATTAGAATAAATCAGTTGAGTTCAGTTTCAACTCAATTTTATTCATAATCTTTTATTCATCGTGAATTCATCTATTTATATACATATATTTCTGATCTAAATCCAGTCAAATTCAACATTCACATACCAAATATAATTCTATGAAATCTAACAAACTAAGATTTCAATTTGGGTTAGTGGACAAAAATACTAATCTATAGTTGATGATACTAGAAGAAATTACTCAAGTTGGACTTATGCCTGGTTGGGTCATCCCTACGCCAACCTAGCCTGGCAAAGGTCCAGGTCAGCCTTATGTGTATCAAATTAGGAAAAGCAAGAAAAGATAAAAAATGACTTTCACCGGCGAAATCTTCCTTTGGTAAGAAGACAATACTTCTAAAATATTACGTCATGCCTAGAGGAAGTGCCTATAACGATAAATAATCACCTCAAATATTTTTTGACAGGATGTTAGAATTACACCACCCATGTGAATAAATAGGAAGGTCATTGTCGTGTCATGGCATATGCGAAACAACCCATCAAGTGTAACCTCCTTCTTTGTCAAGCAATACATTGCCAACGAGCAAAAGCTTCCATGCCAGTGGACTGCCTTAACTCTATAGCTTGGTAAATCATTTAACCCCTTGTGCATTTTATCTTATTCCATCACACACACTCCAATCGCATCACACATAACTCAGTAACTCTTCCAGCTCACGCCTCTCAGAATTGTAATGATTGTTATCGTTCTAGCTTAAATCATTGCTATTTGATTGATGATTTTGACGAGAAGCATGAGCCAAAAATCCCGAAATCCAGCAAAGACCGTTGACTGTAGCTCTAAAAGGTCCTCAGGCCAATTTGCCTCCAGCAGAAGTCCAGCAAATATTTAATCAGACTATGCTAAGCTTACTCAAGCAAAATCAACAGATTATGCAGTTCCTTACTGCCCAGCAACAGCAACAAACCTGGAATGGGGTTACTGAACAAGGCAACAAAAACCATTCCAACGATAATGCTCGTATTCAATGAAATTGATCATCTTACAGACTTGGCGGATACCTTCTCCACTCTCAGAGAGTATGGGTTGAAGCTGAACGCAGCAAAGTGCGTCTTCGGAGTGGAATCGGGAAAATTCCTCGGGTATCTGGTCAGTCAGCGAGGAATCGAAGCCAACCCAGATCAGATTAAAGCAATCCTGGATATCCGAAGCCCTCGCACTGTCCGAGAAGTCCAGAAACTCACAGGGATGCTGGCTGCACTTAACCGATTCGTCTCACGCTCCTCGGATAAATGCAAACCCTTCTTTGGAGCAATCAAATGTGCTGGGAAGAATATGTGGAGCCAGGGGTGCGAGGACGCCCTGGCTGGGATCAAAGAATACCTGAGGACTCTTCCGACCCTATCCGTCCCCATCCAGGGGGAGATGCTGTTCCTATACCTCGCAGTTTCGGAGTTTGCAGTAAGCGGAGTACTTATCCGTGAGCATGAACACCGACAGAAGCCGATTTACTACATCAGCAAGGCGCTCCTGGACGCAGAGACAAGATATCTGCCCCTAGAGAAACTGGCCCTGTCCTTGGTCACCACTGCAAGGAAACTGCGCCATTACTTCCAGGCTCACCCGATCACTGTCCTAACTGATCAGCCCTTGAAGGCAATTTTGAGGAAAGCTGAACTCTCCGGAAGGATCTCCAAATGGGCTGTAGAGTTGGGGGAGCACGACATTCATTTCAAACCCCGGACCGCAATAAAGGGTCAAATACTGGCAGACTTCATAGCCGAGTTCTCTGGGGAGAATCCTGTTCCAGAAAGACCGTCTCCTCCCAACTTAACATCTCCAACAAATGTTGAAGGATCGCCATGGCTTTTATGTGTGGATGGTTCGTCAAACAGTAAGGGGTCCGGAATCGGTGTCTTGCTGACCTCTCCAGAAGGGATTATTGCAGAGCAGGCCATCCGGCTGGGGTTCAAAGCATCGAACAATGAAGCGGAATATGAGGCACTCATCTCAGGACTTCGGTTAGCTGAGGCGACTGGAGTTACCAATTTGATCGTGCATTGCGATTCCATGCTGGTGGTCAATCAAGTCAATGGGGAATTCGAAACGAGGGACCCAAGGATGAAGGCGTACCATCACCAGGCAACGACCGTTATCCAAAGGTTCGACCGATTTGAAATCAAGCAGGTGTCCCGCGACAAGAACACACATGCCGACGCCCTGGCTTGTCTAGCCTCGGCAGTGGACTCCTCCCAGTCGCGCAGGATTACCATTGAATATCTTCCCACATCCTGCATTGATCATACTCTCGAGGCGATGGTCATCCAGGACGCGCCCCAGCAGCTCAGTTGGATCGACCCCTTTGTCAAATTCCTAACAACGGGAGATCTCCCGGAGTGTCCAAGGGAAGCTAGAAAGATAAGGATGAAAGCTCCAAGATTTTGGGTCTCTTCGGATCAGAAGCTTTACCGGAGGTCTTTCTCAGGACCTTACTTGCTATGCGTCCGAGAAGATCAAGTACAAGACCTCCTGTACGAAGTGCATGAAGGAATATGTGGGGGGCACTCTGGGGGACGATCAATGGCACACCGCATTATGTCTCAGGGGTATTGGTGGCCGCGAATGCAAAGGGATGCAAGGGCATATGTCCAAAAATGCGACCAGTGCCAGAGGTTCTCCCCTGCGATCAGGCAACCTGCGGGGGACTTACACCCCCTCACTAGCCCTTGGCCATTCGCTCAATGGGGGCTTGATTTGGTTGGACCTCTGCCTAAAGCTCCGGGAAATAAGAAGTTCCTCATCGTGGCCACAGATTACTTCACCAAGTGGGTAGAGGCGGAGCCGTTAAGTCACATCCGAGACATAGACGCCAAAAAGTTCGTCTGGGAGAACATAGTCGTCAGATTTGGCATTCCTCGCGCACTGGTATCGGATAACGGGACCCAGTTCACTGGCGGGCGCTTTAAGTCTTTCTGTGAGCATCTCGGGATCCGTAACTTCTACTCCACCCCTGCATACCCTCAAGCCAATGGGCAGGCGGAGGCCACCAACAAGACAATTATCAATGGAATCAAGAAGAGGTTGGAGAAAGCCAAGGGAAAGTGGGCGACAGAGCTGTTAAACATTTTGTGGGTGTACAGGACAACCCCTCGGTCATCGACGGGCGAAACCCCCTACTCCCTGGCATACGGGATGGAGGCAATCATACCCCTCGAAGTAGGGCTTCCGACCATAAGGACCCAAGCTTTCGATGAAGGGGGGAATGATCATCAACTGGGATTGGATCTGGACCTACTGGAAGAAAGAAGGGAGGAAACCGCCTTGAAGATAACCAAGTATCAAGAGAAGATCTCCCAGCTATACAACAGGAGGGTCAAGACTCGAGAATTCCGGATAGGCGACCTGGTCCTCAGAAGGGTAACGGCCAATACCCGGGATCCAACAGAGGGAAAGATGGGACCTAACTGGGAAGGGCCTTACAAAGTAACATCAATCGGGGGCGCCGGGTCGTATGGACTAGAAGATATGAGTGGAAGACCTGTAATACGACCATGGAATGTTATGAATTTGAAGAAGTATTACTTTTAAAGTACTCTCTCTCAAGAACTCGCCAAA